CTTTTCCGGTTCGCTCGTCTTTGCTGCATCGTTGGGAGCACTTGGCTTGGAAAAAAGTCCCTGGAAAGGTGTGGAAGAGGAAGGAAGGGGCTGCTGCTCGCCTGCAGGTTTGCTCGGAGTAGCCGGCTTCGCAAACAAGCCACCAAATGGGTTTGCTGGCGCCTTCGTCTGTTCCGAGTCTGCAGTTGCAGGTGGCTTAGGCTCAAAGAGATTCTTCGTAGACGAAGTCTGGAACAAACCAGTCGAAGGAGCAGCCGGAGCTGGAGAGGCAGTGGCATCGCTCTTGGCAAACAGGGAGCCTGGTGTAGTAGTTGATGCAGAGAACTGGAATGGAGATTTGGGCTGCGACTCGGCAGGCTTTGGCTCTTCCTTCTTCTCTTCGGTGGGCTTTTGCGATGTCGAGGACGTGGTTTGGAAGAGGTTCGATGACTGGAAAGGATTCTGGAATGGTGTAGAGGGCTTCGCGGGCGAGGCAGCGCCGAACAATGAGGATGATGCCGGAGCAGCGGTGGTCGCAGCAGCTGCGGCGGGTGTCGAAGCAGAAGGGGTAGGGGTGGCAGCGCCGCCAAACAAGGATGTTGAAGGGGTGGTTGCCTTGAAATCGAAGACGGGCTTGGAGGGGGTCTCTGCCGCCGACGAAGCAGATGCGCCAAACAATGAAGTGCTTCCAGCGCCCGCAAAGCTAGGCTGAGCCGGAGGAGCGCTACTAAAGATGGATGGTTTCTCCTGAGAACCGCTACCCTTTGCATCAGGAGAAGTTTGCATCGAGTCATCGCCACTAAAAGCTGAGGATTGACCGAGTGGGGACGGCTTCTTCACACTAGACTGCGCGAAGAGATTCGTTGAAGGCGTACTAGCAGCAGCCGCATTGTTCTGGCCGAATATGCTTCCCGACGCGGGCGTAGCCGCACCAGAGGCAGAAGGGCCATTGTTTGTGCTGGCGCCGAAGAGGCCACCCGTGCTAGCGTTCGATTGGGATGATGTGCCAAATATTGAGCCCGAAGGCAAAGGCTGCTGAGCGGGGGATTGGCTTCCACCCGGAGGAATGTTAAACATCGAGCCCTGGAAGCCCGAGAAGCTGGCCGGTTTAGATGACTGGTCGGAAGTAGTAGTGTTCATACTGGCGAATGGGTTGCTAGCTGAGCTTGTACCGCCAAAGGATGAAGAGAAATTGAAGGAAGAAGAGGAGCTTCCACCCCCTCCAGAGCCAAAAGCAAATGGAGTGCCTCCGTTCTGACTAGGTGCCGAACTAGCTCCTGGAAAACTTTGGTTCTGACTCTGGCCGAAAGTGAATCCGTTGGAGGCTGGCTGGGAACTAGCGGGTGTGGATGAGACTGTGTTAGGGTCGATGGAAGCGAAAGGGCCTCCGCCGAACGACGGCGCGGGAGCACTCGGGGCAGCACTGTTGGGACGACGCCTCCGAACGTCTTTGATTCTATTAACAGGGTTAGCAACGAGATTATGATTAATTGACGTGCAAAGGAGACTGATGAGCGAGATGATAAGATGAATCATGAGGTGGAGTGGTATGAACGTGTGGAGAAGGCGAGGTGTTAGATGAAAAGAGAATACACAAGGAAAAAAGAAAAAAGAACGTGACGGGAGATCAAAGTCAAGCCCTATTTTCAACAAGCGTCCCAGTAACTTTGGAGGCTGCAGGACAAGTGAATGATTGCATGCATGAGATTGGCCGTAAAGGTCGGTCTACATCCACTTACTTTCTGTTCGCAAGCTGCGCCGCGGTTGCCCGCTGCGGCTTATCGTCCGGTGTGCTCGACATGTTGAATGCAAATAGATCGCTGTCCTTGTCCCCTTGAGGGCCCTGGGCCGATCTCTTAGACATCTATAGTTGAGCCCCCGATGTCCTCAGCGGCGAGATCCTCGATGTTTTTCAGACAGTAGTTGACTTCAGCCCCTTCTTGTGTGTCTGGTTTCACCCCTTAAGGACCGTGCGGCATGCACAGTGTATAATTATTCACTGCGTACAAATGATATCCGGGGACGGCAGTTGACCTCTCGAGTCCGTCCGGTAGGATCTGGGCCCGTAGCTCCAGAGACTCCTAAAGGCACGTCGGTTGATATACGGGGTCTCTTAAACAAGTTGGTGTGAATGGATCCGCGAGCCAAGCGATCAACGTATTCCGCGCAGGTGTCGTATCGAAGAATCACGAGTGATTTGATCAAAATCGGTGAATTATCCAAACATAGACCTGTCCAGGAAGCGAGGGCAGGTTATGGCGCGATCGTCTGGTGAAAGAGTCGCGCTGCGCGAAACTAGCGAGGCCACGAGACCAGAACGGGATCAAGGGAGGAGGGAAGGGAGTTGAAAGGCAGAGCAGTGAATGTTAGGTACTGCTGGCTGTAGTGATGAGGAGGCGCGGCTCCATTCGATGCGCTCTGCCTTGGTGAAGATGGGGGGATGTGCTCAAGTGAGCTTCTATTTTTTAGCCTTGAAGCGTCGGCTCGCGACTTTTGCCGGCAAAGAGGGAAGGTTGCTGGCAGAAAAAATTACGGTCACGTGATGGCCATGCAAGGTGACATCTTGGCGGGATGACATAAAGGCGCTTTCGCTTTTTTACGTGCCCCAGGCGAGGCGACCTTGAGCCATGGTCGACCAGGATCTTGCTTAGCAAAGAGTCTCTCTACTAAGTTAGCCGGCGGCCAATATCATGATGATGATGATGGGGCTCTTTGGCTCTGATGTCGAAAGGAAGGAAAGGTTTCTTTCTTCTGTTCTGCAAACCCCCATCCATGTCTTCCGCATTCTGTATTATTACCACAATTACACAGACATCCTGAAGCGCAGGCGGCATGTCAAACGGTACCCTTACGGGGTATTGTGATTTCTTCCCACTTCGGGTCACCCGCAACCCTTTCACCTTCTGGTTTCCATGGCAAGTTCCCTCATTCTCGCAGCTGCAGGGCGTGCCGTTTTCGCAGCACGGATAGTTGACACCTACATGTGTCAATTCAATTAATATTATCGATGGTCGGAGAGTGCCGATCTGATTGTCCGCTATATTTAGTTCACCAAATATCTGGTGAGGGTACTACATAGTAGTAATACTAGTGAAGTATAGTGTAGTGGCAGTAGCGACCATTGCTTCGGCAAATATATACTTCATCGGCATGACGTGACCACTCAGCACGGTTTGGATTTCAGCAAACGAAAAACCACCGTGATAAAAGCCCGATAACGGAGTGTATTTTGACGTGACGAAACATGGCCATACTGTAAATTCAAATTTGCCCTTTCTCCGAAATTGCGCCTCTTCCTCACCCTAGTTGTATTTCCTAATCCTACAGCTTTAATGAGTACTAGAAGCAACTGACTGTACTAATGACGTCGCAGCATTCTTAAGCCTACCCCTAGCACATACTAGATAGTCCTTGACGAAATACACGAGCAGTGCCCAGTGACCTACAATATAAATGATACCAACTGGCAAATAAAAAGAACACAATAACAGCAGTGTTTCACTGTCGATGTTTCAACTGTAGCAGAAAGTAACGAACAAAAATCGGGTATCTATAGCTTGGCCTTGCCCTGGGCCTTCTTCAGGACGGGCTCCATCTTGGTCGCCTTCATGATGTTGCCCTTAATCTTGAGCTTCCCACCCATGAAAAGTCTTTGAGCGTTGGCCTTGCCGCTTACGAGGGCACTGAAGTCGGCATCGGAAAGGGAAAGAGTCACTGCAATAACATCGATATCTGATCAGTATCGGATGATTAACTGGTGCAGAAGCTGATTAAACTCACCATCGGCCTTTCCTCCCTCGGGAGCAGCACCCTTGCCCACGACACCCTTGTCCTTGAGGTCGAGATACCAGCTCTCCTCTTGGCCCTTGTCGTTCTTGATGTTGAAAGCGACCACCGCTTTAGCCTTGTTGATGGCGTCTTTGCGCTCGGCAGCATCAGCCTGTAGAGTCGAGTTGATGGCGTCGAAGGCGGCAGAAGAAGGGAAAGCGTCTGTAAGGGTGTCACAAGGATCAGCCACAGCTCATGATTGGAATGGCGACCAGAGGATAGACGTACCGTTCTTGAGAGACATGGTGAGTATGAGAGGAGATAGAAAGGGTTCACAGACAATGAACGAAGAGGTAAGGAGTGAGTAAGTTTTGATGTAACCAGAAGTAGTCAGACAGGCTGTCACCGAGGAGGGACTGGAGTTATATATTAATAGCAGCGCTGGACCCCGGGGTTGCTTATTATTGCGGCGAGAGCTTCCCCGGAGAGTTCGGGCGACGGAACATGTGAAATGGAGGCGGTCGCGGCACGGTTGGACCGAGGCTGTCCACTACCAACTGTAGCTAATTACTAGTTAGTAACTACTAGTCAGTCAGCCAGCCAGTCTTTCTCCTGTGATCTGTGATCAACGAAGTAGTACCACCACCACCACCTTGATTGACCCTTTGCTTCTTGCTTTACAGTCTACATTGCACTTCTCCCTTGCTGCAGGTGTCGGATTAAAAAAATTGCTACATAGAACTCTACGTCAGCGGTGCAGATTGGCTGGTTCAATTGCACAAGCCAGACTGCTACAAAAAGCTACTTGCTTCCTGCCTTGGTCAACCTTGCTGATAAACTCTCAACGACCCAACACCTCTCTCGGTCTCGGAGATCTACATACATCTTTACTCCGTTACCGCTTCCCCATATGGTTGTTTTAAGTAACCTGACCGAGGACCATTTTGCAAGTCGGATACTGATACCCACATGCAAGCGATCGTGTCTCGTGTGACTTGGCGCTCTCACACGCCCACCCATCATTGTCCGTGGGATCGCCAAAAATGATCTCATTTGTTCCCGCCTCAGGCAGTCTACTCACTTTGCAATACCAGGGTTTCTACACAGTATACAATTTGAGACGCAAATACAATCATTCGTTTCCTAAACCAACTAATCTCTAACCCGTATCCATTCTACCAAACTCGGCTCGGCAACTCTTACTGATCGCCGCAATACAAAGGCTTCCAGGCATCGCCTTTCGTGGCCCAACTTCATTCACACGTAACCGAGTTACGCTTCTTACGCCGCACAGTGAGCTTTGTGGTCACAGGTGGCAGCTGGAAACGGCCCCATCCTAGATAATTATTGGTCAACACTGTCTCCGGCTTATAATGAATCCCCATTATCGAAACTTACTGTGAATCTTAGGACGCACTAAGATAGGCTGAATGTCATAGTTTAGTAGCATCTCCGCGATGAACACCTTGAAAATGTGGGCGAAGATAAAGCGTCCAGGGCACTGCCGACGACCGTGACCGAAGACCACATACTCATCGCTAGGCGTGGTCATCGAACTCTGACGTCTCTCACTTTCAGATGCATTCTCGGTGTAAAATCGGTAGGGATTGTATCTATCCGCTTCCGGATAGAATTCCTCATCCCGGTGGAGGGCATACTGGGGGATCCCAACCTTTGTCCCGCAAGGCAGGAAAAGACCGTTCGCAAGAATGACACCATTGGGGGCGACAACCTGCATTGTGAGTGAGACCACGAAGTGAGAAAGGGGAAAGTAAGAATTTTGTGCATACCTTTCTCGTCGGGCTGGCAGCGTTAATGCCGTTCAACCGGAGGCTCTCTTTCACAGCACTGTCCAGCAGTGCAGCCCTTCCCAGGTCCTCTGCCGTCCAGTCCCCACTTGAACTACCAGCAATGCTCTCAACTTCAGCTCTGAGATGATTGACAAGGTTCTCATCAACCGGATCACTCAAAATATCAAGAAGAACACTTGTAGCGGACACTGCAGTCGTGTGTACGCCCGGGAAATTGATCATGAAGATTCTATATGATAGCCACATGGACGTGGCTTCCATCGGCCATTTGCTGCGGAGTCCGGCCCGAATGAGCAGGTCCAGCAAGCTATCCTGAGGGAAAGTCAGCACAAAACCGAAAGACTGTGGGCAAAGTACTCACAATAGACTTCAGCGTTTCCTCTTGGGCTTCGGGATCCGTCTGATTTTGCTGTTCTTTGATCTTGGACTCAATAATAGGCTTCATGCGCTTGTGGAAAATCACCTCGAAGTATCTATTGACCATTCCTACAATGGGCCCGATGACTCTGAGAGAAGATTAGACCCCCGGGTAATACGATTAGTGTGGATATACGTACGGGTGAAGGAAAGACGGAAACGCCTTTATGATACTGGCCCCGAAGACGATGGCATCCGAGCAATGTGCCATGGCATTCAAAAGAATCTCGTCGTCGCTATGGCCTGGTCCAATCGCAAGCACATTGATCATCCGCGACGCCATCTTCTCCATTGCACAGTACAAGTTGATCTCGACCCATTTGTCAGAATCTTCGCCCCAGAGGTCTTTCAGACATGATAGGGCTTCCTCAGCCAGTGATCTTGCAACCGTGTCCGTCTTGAGGGTTTCCGTCAGATCTTTACTGATGAGCTTGACATAGTTGTCATATTTATTAGCAAAGGCCAGCGGCCAGCTGGTGTACTTCAGTTGGAAAAAGCCAGTAATATAAGCTTTGAAGCTGTATTCATTTTCTTTCGAAAACAAAACGTGCTTGGCCAGGTCTTTTGGAAGAAGAACTTCATCGCCCTCAGCGACGCTGGGCAGCACGAATGGCTTTTGATGTTTGGAGTACTAGATAAGAATGATATCAGCAAGAGAGACATGCTTCAGAGGCGTGCCACCAACCTTCTGATAACCCTCGCGAATGAAACTTATGGGGTTGACGCCAACGAAACGCTCCACAGCACGCCCTAGGAGACTCTTCCTGTTCAAAGCCCGAGGAATGTCATTAGGAACCGGCGAAGTCTCAAAGAGTTTCACGACAAGACACAAGCCAACGCCTATGATGCCTATCACGAGCCAGGAGGCGGTGCTGATTCCGAGAAACATGTCTCCTCGTTTGGGATGTGTAATCGACCCTTCAGACTAAGATGAAAACGCCCATTTACCGGATTGGATTGGTCGATACTATAGAGTGATCGCTACGTACAGGCACACCCTTTATGTACTCACAAACATAAGACAACTCTATGGTTTTTGACACCATCATCGGCTGCTTTCAGGATTTATCCTATCGATCAATGTACGGGAGCTCTGGAGAGAGCAGGTATGTTCAGTTACAACAAGGCCAACCAACCTTGGCACCGGAGGGCCCCGGTCCATCGACCCTAGGTTGCTCAAAATATAACAACGCCTGGATAAAAGATACCGACCAATGAGATACTGGACTGGCTGAACTTTTCGAGCTACCATGAACTAGGTAAACTATAACAGTCAGGTTTACGGGGAGAGGTATACTCCTGTCAAAGTCGAAGTGCTTCAGCCTGCATGCTGAATGCCACATCTTGACAATTCAGAGGCCAACCCCAAAGTTGTGAATAATGAATTGCCGGGTCATTGCACCGGACCTCCAGCCAATCTGAAATCTTCGGATTGCGAGATCAGAGACCAATTGTGCATTGCCAGTATAGATCCACCTGCCATAAGAGAGAAAACCTTCATACGTCACATAGCTGGAATGTCCCCGCAAAGGAGATGACCGACCCATTGTAGCAAGGTTTAAGGCATCCCACATCCATATGTGACTACTCTTTCTTCTCTACGACTGGATCCACTGCACCATGTGGTGGTCACGATCGTAATCGGGAGCAACCGAGATAATTGGCCTGTGAGCCCCTTGCCGGTGTGGATCAGCTCGGGCCTGGAGGGTATGGGTGGGTAAGTATGGCTTAGCACACGGCCACTCGGCCGGAGAGCAGAAACTGCTAGCATCTAGTCCTTTTGCATATTCTTCGAGAACTACTAGACTACCCCAGACTGGATTCCTGTTAGTCCGATTTCGAAATGCAACCTAGCAGCAAGCGGGCGTGATTGAAACCTAGGACTCGCGAGTCTATTACTAGGATGATTTAGAGACGTCGCCTTTCGTCGTGTTGTTGATGGTTCTGAGTCGCGCATAATGTCTGTGCATAACTTCCTGCTGTTATCTGGGCTGTCCAGCTTGTCAAGGATACCGGCTTTATTCTGACATGGGCTGCATATAGCATGCGTATAAGATCGCTGCGGCGCACTGCCTTGGGACGACCGACTATGTCCGAAGGCGCTCCTTGTTTATCTCGTACTTTGGGCTGTAGCGGGATTGTCTAGCTTGTCTCGTCTCAAGGCTCAGACGATGTTCGTAAGATAGTAACTACTTTCGTGCAAGACTATGATGATGATGGATGATACCCTGTCGAGAAATTTACTGTAGTCAGGCGCTATCTGATCTGATCCTTTGCTATTTCTGCTGTCTACGTGGCTGATTCTTCAGTACTCCCGCCAACACTCTCTTGAGATCTAGCTATATATATTTTACATACCAGCGAATAAGTCCCTGCCTATGTCTTGGAACATCACATAGGCACATTTAAGGCAATTAGCTTACTGAGGCCAGTCAGGAGTAGACACTGCCAAAACATTGTCGACAGCCCTTTTGGCTCCGATCCATTTCAATTTGCTTTCATAATCGGTCATTACTTCTACTACGTCTCCAGGCAGGAGTAGTCACATATGAGATTTGTCTCAGACTAATGGTGTAAGCCTGCAGGAAATTTTCGACGGACGGATAACGGCGAGACGTAGAGATCATTACTCCTGCCCTTTAGATCCACAAGGAACTTCCCTAAAGATAGGCAGAACTACAAGATGAGAAGTTTCGAGCATCAAATACCACCTTTCCCCTTAACTTCCCACCTCATGAAGTAAGATGATTAGGGTAGATTCCGCGTCCTCTTGACTATGCTGTCTCAGAACCTTTAAATCCACCGTCCTGCTCGCTGAGACATCTCTTTCCAGTCTCATCCATTTCACTTTTGACTCTACAGAGCAGACAGTTGTTGCATCCCAAGAACAGCTCCCGAATTCACCTTATTGCCTGACGCTATTCTACAGCACCACGCATAGCCATGGCCCTTGAAATGATAGTGATTATTTTCCTGCTTCTTGGTTTGGTCTGGTGGTTCATTCAGTCGACTCTGTTCGACCCTTTCAGGTCGGATTAGATATGTCTACGTCAATCTGACATACACTTCCATATAGACATTAGAAATATATGTGAAGTTTGGAGTCTTTTACCTACTTAGTATGATCTGCTGGTGCTAATAATATGGTCATAGAAGAACTTGTCTCTAGTCGCATCCTCAATATGAGGGCTGACTTAAATTCTTCTTAGACGGCATAGATTGACATGATATAGACATATGCATCATGTAACGACGCATTATTACTCGGAATATGGCGATATGACACTACTGTGGATTCTATCTGCAACCTCACATAAACTTAACATGCCATCATTGATAGCTGCATCAAAGGCAAAGTTACAATTTCCCTATCGCTGAAGACAATGAATACCATGTATAACGTGACAAATGCCGGATAAAGACGGTTACATAAAGGAGAGCATATGTATAGAGTGTGGCTGAGGAGCGCCACAGCCGGTGGTGTTACTGCTTCTACGACATTTACGAACTATAGCTGCCGGATTAATGCACAGCAAATAAGCACATAAGATATTTGACCAATAACAGACGATGCAGTAAAAAGAGTTATCCTTTCATAGCAGTGCAATAAGCAGAAGTTGTAGAATTTTATATTCACCTAGTTCGATAAGCAGATAGGCAGATAGGCATCAATATGACATGCCAGAAAACGGACATCCGGTAAAAAAGCAAATTTTCAGGCTTTCCTGAAGCAGTAGGGGAATGGAGATTGCCACCCAGTTCAAGCCGGGGCAAACCTTCAGAGCCTTGGAAATCAATTCACAGAGGTACTTATATGTGATCGTATTCCTTGACTACGGTCGCAGTCCCTGGGGATGATGCCTAAGAGAATCATTCGAATTTATTCACTTAAGCTGTGGGAAACAAAGACTAAAAGATAAAAAGAGTGTTGTGTTCTCTTTTAATTTTTTTTATTTTATTTTTTAAACTCAGCTGCCAGGTACCGCCAAGCGATCGCGACTCCCGCAACTCCATCAATCAGATCTTCCTCCCCCCGAATACCGCCGCCCCCCCCAATCTACTTCACTCTTCTTTTACTTACTTGCCTTCTCCCCCTTTTTGATCTACTTGAGACTGTATCTGTTTCTCCAATATATATTGAGAACAGACGGGAGATCTCTCTTCATTCGTTGGTGAGATCAACCCGCCTATTATCAGAGTGTTGTGGGGTCGGCTTGCGCCCTGCCAGTTCAGTCTAGCCTTGCTCAGTAACTTCGGCAATAATGGCGTCCGCGTCCGACGCGTCAATTCAAGATATCCTAGAGGATATCGAGCTCAACCAGGTTATTTTGCAAAGCTTGGACGAGGAACGACCCGATGCCGCTGAAGACCGACAAGAGATTCTAGATGTCATCAAACGCCTGGAAGCCCGACTAGCGGTGCTTCAAGGTCGTCCCGCTGGGGGCCCGTCCGCCGCCTCTCCGCCACCGGGTCCAGCCCGCTCAGGCTTGTCTTCTGCCCAGCTAGATGGTGCCTTTTCTGATGCTCCGGAAAGTGCTGGTCGTGCACCTTCGGTCGACTCGTCTTCTTCGTCTGATGATCGGTCCGTGCTGCGCTTTGATGCCGTCGCTCCTGGACCGTCAACTTTGCGAAAGCGTCTACACCTCAGCAGTGAGGATAGCCACTCTGAGAACGATGAAGATGACTCCGACTCCTCGGATTTCACAGACGACTTGGAGGCCCCAGTTTCCAGACGGCCAAAGCGGATGCGTCGCGTTAGTCCCGAGGCCGAGCCTAGCAATGATGCTCCCGACGATGATCTAGACGACCCTCTCGCTGGCAATGAACAGCTACGCCAGATCTTGGGCATTGACAGCGCTGATATCATGCGCGAGATCCAAGAGGAGCAAAGACGGGCCGAGCAATGGCTCGAGGAACGTCGGGAACAGGAGCGACGTGACGCGGAGTTTGCTCGCCGACTTAATGATTCCTTCCGTGAGCCGTCTCAATCGCCGTCGTCTTCGCACAGCATGTTCCCTCCCAGACCTTCAGTCTCCGCTCCCGCTCCTTCTTCTTCGTCGAACAGACCTTCCATGGCCAACACTGGCCGTTTCCCCGAATCTTGGGCGCAACATAACCCACTTGAATCTCTGCCCTCTCACAGTCGTGACAACAACCGCTCTCCCTTCAGTGAAGCCCGAGATCCCCAGCCCTTGCTTAGTAGCGATGATAGCGATCTCGCCGAGATCACGCCGTCCGACTTTCAACGCCATTGCCAAATTACAGCCGCCCCACATGCGCGTCCTCCGCGTTGGGGCCCTTTTGCCCCTACGATGCCTAACGGACCTGGTCATCAAGCGCAGAGTCGGTCACTCCAGGTGTCTCCTGCGCCGCGTGATGGAATGGGATCTGGATCTGTGTTTGGTCCCCATGTAATGTCAAACACAATGGCAAGGCTCAATGCAGGCAGGGAGATGCTGGTGCAAGCCGGAAGGATGATACTCGGCGGCAACGATCCCAGGTCTTCAGACCCTCCGTATATTGATCTGGAAGATTACCAGGGACCAGGTGGATTTCGCAAGGCCAGAGATTATCTAGAGTGAGTAACTTGGCCCCCCTCATAACGCCCCGATCCTTGAAGTAGCAACTGACCTTCCTAGTGACTACTATGGCTCTGAAATCTATGGCCCCGACCCAAACAAGACGAAAGAAGATATTCAAAAGCTGCTGGAAAGCATCAGACCTGACTCCGAGATTGCCCTACAGAACCGCGAAGGAACCCCTGAAGCTCTCAAGTACACGCTGCTGGAGCACCAGAAGTTGGGGTTGTCTTGGATGAAGTCGATGGAAGAGGGCGACAACAAGGGCGGTATCCTTGCCGATGATATGGGTCTGGGGAAGACCATACAA